GATCCCTGGCCAGGGAGCTGACCCTCATGGCGCAGCAGACCTCTCCTGACCCGCCCGCTGCTCCCCTCAGCAGTGTACTTTGTCCATCTGCCTGTCCTGCTCCCCACTCTGTCTCTGGTGAATCTTCTCACCCACCCCCCCACACCTCTGGCCTGTACCCCAGTTCTATGTGTATAAATAAATACATCTTTAAAAAAAATTCAAACTTACAGAAGAGGGAATTCCCATACACCCACCGATCATCTGTAGAAAAGTCTGCCCCAAAGCATGACCTACCTGCCCTGTCACCTCCTCTGCCCCAGCCCTCTGTCACCACACCCCCTGACTCGGCCCCCCCGGCTCCTGTCTTACAGACGTGGCTGTTCAGTGACCACCTCATCCAGCAGCAGGGCAAGTGTCTGACTGCCACTTCCACCTCCGTCTCCCCTGGGTCCCTGGTCATACTTCAAGTGTGCAACCCAAGAGAAGGCCGCCAGGTAAGCCTCCCCACCCCCACCCCCCAGGACACAGGGAAACCAGCAGCCCCCGGAGCATGCCGGGGTGGGGGGGGGTGGCAGCTCAGTAGGGGAACCCCAGCTTGAGACAGACTCATCAGCCCTCCAGAGGGAGGCTCTTGGGAACCCACGTCAAGTCATGACCAAGCCTGTTGTTTTATTTATTATGAGGAAACACGTACTTCAGACCAACATGTGTTTAATGTCTGTCCTGCCAGCCTGTGAGCTCCAGGAGGGCAAGGGGCTGTTTGTCTTGTCGGCACTTCATCGCTTGCCCCTGACAGCACCCGCAGTCAAAGTAGGTGTCAGCTTCACTGAGCGCCTGTGCTAGAAACTGTCCGTGAAGGACCTGATAGAGTCCTCCAGCAGCCAGGGGTGAGGGCCCAGTGCTTCCCCATCTTACAGGCGAGTAACGCAAGGCTCACTGAACTGAAATGTCAGATCACACAGCTGAGATTCAAATCCAGGTGGGGTGACTCCTAGGCCCAGTCTTGACCCAGCATTATGAACGCTCAGTGAGTATTTCTGCACTGCTGGCTGCCTGGGGAAACAGATCCAGTCCTGTGCTTCCAGCTCCACATGAGGCAGCTTTTCCGTCATTCCACACACTCCCAGCCACTTGGTCTCATTTAGTCCCTAGAGCTAGGTTAGGCCCCCTGTGGAGGAAATGCTGGTGCTTAGGAAGATGACGTCAGATGGTCAGTCTCTGACTCCCCATGGTCCAGGAGTGTGTACAGCCTCCTAGGGCAGCGTCCCTGAGGCTGGTAGGCCTCAGGTGCATGGGCCACAGGCTGAGACGGTCTCACCTCCCACTGTGTGTGTGTTTCAGCATAGCTTCCTGTGCCTGTAAAGTGCTTTCACAATAGCATATTTTGAAACATGCCTTTTTTATTTAACATTTAAGTTTGTCATGAACACTTTCCCACACTTTGTAGAAATCCTTTTATTTTTAATAACGAAAGATTTTTCTATCCTACAGATGAATCAGAATTTATTTCTATTCCCTGTTGCTGGTTATCTATGAATTGCCAGTGCTTTCAGTATAAACAACCACTGTGAATAAACATCTTTGAAACTAAATCTCTTCACACAACTATACTCATTGCTGCAGGATATTAAGTTCCCAGAAGTGAAATTGTTTGGTCAAAGTGGCGTGCATTTTTAAGGTCTTTGATACATAATGCCCCGCTGTGTTCTAGAAAAGCTGGGCCAGTTTATGTTCTCGCTGGTAGGGTGTGAGAAGATTAATCCTCAGCTGAGCCAAGAGCCTCCTGGCTTGATCCCCCTTTGTATTTATTGGAGCCGAGGGTCACGGAGCAGCCTGTATGTCATGTGTCTGGCTCTGTTCAGTCCAGATGTCAGTTGGGACAGAAAGAATAATCCAGAACCCTGGAGCAAACTGGGTTGTATGATCTTTACAAGTTCCACTCAGTAAATGTCAATTACGGCAAACTGAAGAAAGGCTTAAACTTGCACATGAAGTATTTCACTATAAAGCTGTTTAAAATGAAAGTCTTCCAGAAGCCACCTGCACCATTTCCCACTTATCCAGGAAATATTTACCCTCTAAATGCATGAAACCATGTCAGTGTGTTTTGTCGGGATTTATATACACTGATTAATAAGTACCTGAAACTTGAAAAAGAATCACAGACTACCCGTAGACTCATATGGCATAATATCCTTATATGGTAAATAAACTGCAATAATTCTTACACAGTATTTCTTTAGTCATTAGTGAGGTTGAACACATTTTCATGTGTATTTTAAATCTGCCTCTCCAAAGCGGCCCCTTCCCTGTAGTTTTGAGATTGCTTATTGAGCCGACTTCTGGGCCCCGTCCTCTCTCCCTGGCTTTCCTTTTTCAGGATTGGGGCCATCAGGGCTTCTGGCCCCAATGGTCCTCCCGAGCCTGATCTGCAGGACCATCTCGGGGTCCTGGAGCAGCTCAAAACCCAGTGGGTCCGGTCTTCCTACGGGCATCCCACTCCCCACTCCTCCCATCCCCCCCCACCCCTGTGGATAGGTACCGCCTCTATCTGCTGCTTCCCGCAGGGACCTGGTGCCGGCCAGACACTGTCCTCAGGGTGCCATAAACCCAAAGAACAAGGCTGACAGCTGTCTTTTCTCCCAGTGTCCCGGTGAAGGAAGTGCTGCCTGGCATCATTAAGCAGGGGGTTAATTGCTTAGAAACCCAGGGCCAGGACACGGCTGGTAACTTCTTACTCGGAATGGGGACCTGCAGAGGATCTGCCAAAAACCCCCCAGCACCCCAGGTAAGCTGATTAGGACTTCTGGGTCAGGATGGGGGGGGAGCCAGGGACACTGCCCAGGAGTGGGTGAGGGGCTCCCTCTGCTCATTCTCACCTTCTCTGTCTACGTCCCCCACAAACCTTGCCCTGGGGTCCGTTCCCCCTGCTTTCCTGTGTCACCCAGGTATCCTCTGTCCACTGCCCATTTTCTCTCTGCAGTGAAGAAACGCAAAGAGAGAGGAGAGTCTCCTGCAGGGGGAGAACCGCTCTTTGTTCTCCCCGGGACACGCTGTGGTCCGTTTGTATGACAGCAGCAGGGTGTCCGGGGCACCCGTGTGCACATGGCTGCATGCGAATGCAGACGCACCCCCCCGCCGCCCCGAGCGGGTCACAGGGCCCCCAGTGGGGACCAGCTCCCGGGTGGCCCTGGTCACGCAGCCTCTTTCTCCTCTACCCCAGCATCCCTTGCTGCACCTTTTAGACCAGCTCCTGCTAAGCACCCCTGCCCCAATATTTTATTATAAAAAATTTCAAACTTGGGCCCTCCCTAGTGGTGCAAAGGGTTAAAGTGCAGCACTGTGAAGCTATCTCAGCCACTGCAGCCTGAGTTTGATCCCTGGCCAGGGAGCTGACCCTCATGGCGCAGCAGACCTCTCCTGACCCGCCCGCTGCTCCCCTCAGCAGTGTACTTTGTCCATCTGCCTGTCCTGCTCCCCACTCTGTCTCTGGTGAATCTTCTCACCCACCCCCCCACACCTCTGGCCTGTACCCCAGTTCTATGTGTATAAATAAATACATCTTTAAAAAAAATTCAAACTTACAGAAGAGGGAATTCCCATACACCCACCGATCATCTGTAGAAAAGTCTGCCCCAAAGCATGACCTACCTGCCCTGTCACCTCCTCTGCCCCAGCCCTCTGTCACCACACCCCCTGACTCGGCCCCCCCGGCTCCTGTCTTACAGACGTGGCTGTTCAGTGACCACCTCATCCAGCAGCAGGGCAAGTGTCTGACTGCCACTTCCACCTCCGTCTCCCCTGGGTCCCTGGTCATACTTCAAGTGTGCAACCCAAGAGAAGGCCGCCAGGTAAGCCTCCCCACCCCCACCCCCCAGGACACAGGGAAACCAGCAGCCCCCGGAGCATGCCGGGGTGGGGGGGGGTGGCAGCTCAGTAGGGGAACCCCAGCTTGAGACAGACTCATCAGCCCTCCAGAGGGAGGCTCTTGGGAACCCACGTCAAGTCATGACCAAGCCTGTTGTTTTATTTATTATGAGGAAACACGTACTTCAGACCAACATGTGTTTAATGTCTGTCCTGCCAGCCTGTGAGCTCCAGGAGGGCAAGGGGCTGTTTGTCTTGTCGGCACTTCATCGCTTGCCCCTGACAGCACCCGCAGTCAAAGTAGGTGTCAGCTTCACTGAGCGCCTGTGCTAGAAACTGTCCGTGAAGGACCTGATAGAGTCCTCCAGCAGCCAGGGGTGAGGGCCCAGTGCTTCCCCATCTTACAGGCGAGTAACGCAAGGCTCACTGAACTGAAATGTCAGATCACACAGCTGAGATTCAAATCCAGGTGGGGTGACTCCTAGGCCCAGTCTTGACCCAGCATTATGAACGCTCAGTGAGTATTTCTGCACTGCTGGCTGCCTGGGGAAACAGATCCAGTCCTGTGCTTCCAGCTCCACATGAGGCAGCTTTTCCGTCATTCCACACACTCCCAGCCACTTGGTCTCATTTAGTCCCTAGAGCTAGGTTAGGCCCCCTGTGGAGGAAATGCTGGTGCTTAGGAAGATGACGTCACTCATCCAGGGCCTCATCCAAGGCACACGGCAGCCCCAGCCGGTGGCAGGACACCTGGCTCCCTCCTGGGCCCGGAATGGGCACCCAGCCAGAGCCCTGCGCCAGCTCTTCCTCTTCGAGCTCTTCTTAGCAGCCCTCCTTGTGCCTGGCCCTGGCCCCCTGCGGGGCTCTCTGCTCTCTGGTTTGGCCTGCAGGGGATCCCCCACTCTTTTCTGTTTGCCTGGATCAGCTCTTTCTTTAGGGATGACTGGCCGTTTGCTATTCTATTCTGGAAAAGCAGCCTGGTCCTTTCCTCTAGTTTGTGTGTGTGTGTGTGGGTGTGTGTGTGTGTGAGAGAGAGAGAGAGAGAGAGAGAGACTTGTCTGCCGTGGCCTGCTTGCTGGGCCTGTGGATACTTCTGAAGCACTTTTGATTGAGGGAGATTCAGCTTGTCCTGCCCTGCCCTTCCTCAGGCTTCCTGCCCTTCCTCAGGCTTCCTGCCCTCTGCTCTGCCCTGACGTGACCTGTCTGCCAGCTGCCCTTCACCAGCAGCATGGGCCTCCCTGAGGGTCAAGCACTGAGCCCATGGGACCCCTCCTGTTGAAGCCAAGCTGGGAAGTCACTTCCTGGGCAGCAACCCCGCAAGTGCTCACAGGGCCCGAAGCATCCATTTTCCCTCTGTGCTGCCCCGGGCTAAGGTGCTCTAGGAATCTCCTTTGGCCCTGTTCATTCTGGTCCTGCAAGTCCCACCAGCCACCACAACAGCACCCTGGGCAACTATGTCCCCGCCTCCTTGGAGGACAGAATAGACAGTGTCAGAGTCTTCTAGACTCCCTCTTGATTCCCCTTTCACCCTGTTTCCAAAGCCATGTGGGTGTCATGTCCCCCTGCACATAAGAGACAGTGTGATGGGGTCAGCAAGTCCAACTGGGTCACTTCTCTGACCCTCAGTCTTCACACTTATAAAATGAGGGCTCCCTCCTCTGCCTGCCCTGCAAGGAAGCTGCGAGAACCAAGCCTGGGGGTGGGTGGTTTGAGAGTCCTTGAAGAGGTGTTTCACTGGCCAGGCCCAGATTAAGCAGCTACGACAGTTTGGGAGTGCCCTGAGTGTGTGCCCGAGGGCCCCAGAAGGAAGTGCGAGTCCTAAGACTTAGGGAGCTCTTCCTAATAACTAGGGGATTCGTGCATTCATCCCTGCATTCATTTTCATAAAATAAATGCCCTTGGTGCCACCTTTGTGCCAGGGTCTGTGCTGAGCATGCTGGCCACAAGCATGAAAAATGGGCTTGGTCCTAGATCCTCAAGTGTTAGAGGACACCAAATCTGTTACAGGACAAAATCTGTGATAGGGCACGCCAATTCTGTTGGAGGACAGGGGGATAGGGGTACCTCTGAAGCCCCAAAAACCTGCCTTCTCTAAGTGGGTTCTGCCATCCGCCGCAACAAGACAAAACACATAAAGCTTTAATGAAAAGGGACTTTAATACAGTGAATATACAATACGGAACACAAACAATATAATTTCTAAATCAAACACCTGAAGTGACCCATCCCCTCGTGGGCAAAAGTCCACCCAAAGGGGGTTGGCCCAAAGCAAGGCCTGAAAGCTGCCACAAGACTAAAGCACCTTCTGGCCGGGACCCATGGAAAAGGGTCAGAAATGGCCAGACAAGTGTGGGAGGAAAAGAGCAACATCAAAATCAATATAAACACTGCCATGGTCACCTCCCTACAGGTATCTCACCCACATCTGCCTAAACCAGTCCAGGGTCAGGAAACAAGCACTTTTTTTTTTATCACATGCTTGCTGCTCCATGTGGCTTCCTCAGGTCTCCTGGTTCTCCAGCCTGCTTCCTTTTCTCTTCTCCCTTTTTTCTCTCCTTTTTCTCTGCTCAGCTCCACCCTCCTGGGTGGGGCAGGGAATTCCCTGGGTGGGGCAGGGAACCTGGAACTTCCCTTTTCCTAGGGACCACCCTGTTACACAAGGAGCGTACAGTCTGGTGGGGGCAGGGGAGGGAGCCTCCATCCCACACCTGGCTGCACACTGAGGCAGCACTTAGCCCCGAGGAGGCCTGCCACTGGGACATAGCAGTGGGTCAGCCAGTCCTCCTGGGGAGGGGATGCCCACCCACTGTCCAGCGGGGCATTGCTTGGTATGAGGTAAGTGTCAAGACCGGAGGAGCACAAGGCAATAGGACTCCAAGTTCCAGGAAGACCCAGAGCCCTGACCCTCCCCTCCCTTGACCTTCAGACACCTCTGCTGACTCACAGCTCTTAAAGCTAATTCATAGCCCTGGGGGGCGGAGGTCCCAGGCTCTGCATCTCCCCACCTTCCACCCTGCACATCCTATTCAGAGTACCCCCTGCAGGTAACCTCCTGTTTCCCGCCCTGTGGTGGGAGGCAGCTCATTTCCCTTCTCCCTGCTGCTCCATTAAGAACATTCTCCTCCCCATCAGAGCCCCTGGCTCCATTCACTGGGTCACCAACATGCCACACTTCTTATGGAGGACCAGGTAGACATAGGAAGATAGGAGATGGATGAATGGGACAGGAACAGGAGAGAAGCCCCCAGGAGACTTAGCTCGCTACCTTCCCTGAGCTTTGAGACCGGGTCTCAGCCTCTGCCTAAGAGTTCCAGACTACCTTCCATTCTCTTTCCAGGAACTTCCAACATCTCCTACTAGAATACTCCCTTTGCCCCACCCATCCTTAAATGTGAGCCCAGGGACACACCAGAAGGCAAAGGCACTGATCTGGGCCTCCTCCATGACTCTGCTGGGAACCCAAGCACGCCTGCCGCCTGCTGGCCTTGCTCTCCCTCTCCCCTCGTTCCCACTAAAGCGCTTGGTAGCCAGCTGGGATGACAGACCGGCTCAGCTTAGAGCCGCAGGGAAAAGAAATGTTTGGAGAAGGAAAAGATTCACCTAGGCCAGAGCCTACAAACTCGAGTACCTCTGGGGAGTAGTTGGGAACCTCTTTCTCGTTCCTGGGACTACAGAGAGCTGAGACCGAGCCCCATCTCCAGCCGGGGGCAGGTCCTCGGCCCGCAGTGACGCCACAGAAGAAAGCGGCTCAAGTCTAAGAGGAAACTAGAAATGCAGACTTCCTGTGACAGTTTAGCCGAGTTTTAAATAAGCCCCATGCAGGCCACGCCAAATACATCTCGGGTTAGAGGTGTTTTGTCCCAACTTCTGTGACTGGCTGCAAGAAAGGAAGGCGGGAGGCAGAAAGGCTGAGCAAGCAGTTTATTGCTCCGGACAGCAGCTGAGACGGAGCCCCTAGAGTGGGGTCCGCAGCTACTGCCAATAAGGGGGAAGGGTCTAAACTCAGACTCCAAAGGGGTGACTCATCGCTGTGTCCTTGATGTGAGGCCCAGTTCGCGTCACCTTCAGCTAGTCCCATCCAGGATCTCAAGGTCAGTTTTATTACCACTTTTATCAAGCTTGAATGCAAGGCAAAATTCTTTACCTGCCCTAATTCAGTCCTTGCCAGTAAATCTTTGGTGACTCCCAACAAGAGGCAGCCCACAGGCCTCTGAGCTAGGCAGTGACTTCACCCCTTACTACAGAGGCAAGAGCACAGCGTGGACATGGGGAGACGCCTGCGGAGGGGACACACGGGTCGGTCAGTGAAGGGTGCAGAAAACACAGGGTCGCTTTCCTCACCATTACTGTTTTCTCCTCCCCCAGAGATGGAGGAGGAAAGCCTCATTCATCCAGCATTCAGTCAGCGGCCTCTGTCTGGAGATGAAGCCTGAGCAGCTGGTGACCAGCAAGTGCCAGGCGGATGCCCCGGCCCAGCAGTGGCAGCTGTTGCCTCATACATGACGCAGCCCCAGGGCCTCCTGTACCTTTTGCATGAGACTTTGGGACCCGAGGGGGTTAGGGTGGGCGAGTGCAAAGCGGGCCCTTTCCATCTCCTCACGTTTCTGCCAGAATCATCAGCAAACACCCCTGCCATGACTCGACTCTGCAAAGCTTGCACGGGGAGGGCCTTCCTGGCTTTGCCAGGAACAGGGGCGCTCAGGATGCTGGTGCTGCAGGGTGGAGACTGGGAGGTGTCCATGTCCTCCGTCCCCTCCCATGGTCCTCCTGGGGGCCCAGGTTGTGGTGAGCGACCCTCCCCTTGTTGAATGAGGAGAGCGAGGACAGAAGTCCACACAGCAGCCTCATTGGGTCACGGGGGCTGAGAGGAGAATGTGGGTGTCGTGGATGGGGAAGCTGAAGGTGAGAGAAGGGGGCAGCCTGCGGCACAGCCAGGAATAGGAAGGAGGTGAGGGGGTCAGCAGCCTGCCCCAGGCAGGCACTGGCTTGCGTATGGGAGAGAGGAATCTGGGCAAAACAGGAACAATTTGTAGGACAGGGGTGGAAGAGCTGCAAAACCAGCCAGCGGGCAAGTCTCTTCCTGAGGACCACCCAGCCCACAGGCACCAGCCCGGGGCGCCGCCTCCAGCCCTGCACACTGACCCTACATTCTCAGTCAGAGGCTGCATGGGCAGCCTTGACCCTCAGTTAAACACACCCTGCCTCCGGCCATGTTTCAGGCTAAGACTTCTCCCTCGGGCCTTAATGACCAACTGTGCCCTGTCCCCCCTGCCTGGGCCCACCGTGAAGACCCCAAAAGAGAGGCAGCCACCAGGTACCACTGAGATCGGAGCAGCTCCAGTCTCATTCGTGGTTGTCGACCCCCACCTTCTCAGAAGCCTTTGCCCCTGTACATACTGCATGGTGGCCTTGGGGAGCCCTGTAGGAATGGAACCTCACTTCTGGAGCATAAACATTCCTTAGGTCCCCAGGGGTAAGTCATTCAGAGGGCCTCATCCCCACCCCTCCCCACTTCAGAGGAGAGGCTCTAAGGGTCAGCTCCCCCAGCGGGGCACCACGTGGGCTGCTGGCTCCTGTCCGTGCAGACAGTGCCTGGGTCCTTCTCATCCTCGCTGGCCGCTTCCTTCTACCCCACAACCTTGTCTTGGAGCCGCTTCTGCTGTCCCCCGTGCACCTGTCCCTCCACCCCCCTGACTCGAGCAGTGTGATCTTGGACAAAAGGGGGGTGTCCGGGACCTCCGGTTCCCATAGCTAATGAAATAGGATGGGCACACCTTCCCCAGGAATTCTCCTGGTCTGTTAGAGACCTACACCCCCTAGACACTTTATGGTTCCCAGGGGGTCCAGGAACCTGCTGAAATTATCCCCCAGATAATGCACGTGTGTACTCACATGCATTCCTGAGGAGAAGTTCCATGGATTTCCCCAGCTTCTTACAGAGATCCCTGATCCCCAAAGGGTCGGAACCTCTGCTCTGGACTGAAGCTTCTGTGCTTTTCTCCCTTCCTGAGTGCCTGCATTGCCACCCCCACCCCCCTACGCCCCGCTCCCTACATGCGGGCCTTGGGGTCAGGAGCCAATTGTCCCTGGCTGGCAGTGTCCCCCTAAAGAGCTCTTCAGTGGTGTCCCCTCCTTCCTGGCTCTCACCAGCGTCCTCTCAGCTCCTGAGCTCACCAGCCCAGAGCCCTTGGCCCTTAGGGCCACACTTCTCCTGTCCTCTGTTGTGATGTCTCATCTACTGGCCCCTCTGTTGTGCGTGTCCACCCGGCAGGCAGGATGGCCTGTTGGGGATGGGGAACTGTGCCTCTGTCATTGAATGCTGCTCAGAGAGGGGGAGGGGCTGCCCTCCTTCCCTGAGGGCAGACACCAGGCCGGGGCACTTGTCTGCCGCCCTTTGTGGGACTCAGCCCTATTTTGGTTTTGCTTTTCCTCTTCTTGACCAAAGCATGTGCCACTAGCTGTCCCCGAGGACCTCGTCTTTATGGAAATACACCGGAATAAAACCACTTCTCACATGTCCACTTGTGCTGTTGTCTTTCTTTCTGGCTCCAGAGCCAAGCCCTCCACACCACCCCCCGGGGCCAGTAGGAAAGTCCAGGCCTCCGTTCTGTAGTGAAACTGGGAATTCTCAAGTCTAATATCCTCCAGCACTTGAACACTTCCTGTTGGCCTATTTGCCCGTTGGTGCCTCAGGGACTCTGGGGGGTAGACAGTGGATGGCAGGATCAGACTGGAACCAGAGACCAGGCTCTGGTGACCTTATCATGGGCCCCTCTATGGGGCTTAGAAACAGAAGCCACGGGGCTTCTCTGAATGCTTGCCGGTAGCCAACCCTCTGGCCACCAGGCATGGTCCCTCTGAACTCCCCTTCCTCTTCCTCTACCACACTAGAAACCAGTAGTAAAAAAGCAGGTGGGTCAAGCCTTCTGAGTAGACAGCAAAGCCACTCAGAAAGAGTCCTGCAGCCCAGTCTGGCTTGATCCGGCAGCAGATGTTCTGCCTATGTTTCCATGGAAACCAATGGAAAGCCGTCACCATCTCTGTGATCAGAAGCCGAACCTGCCGTGTTAAAAATAAACGCTACATCAGTGTGCCCGTGAACTGTGGCGGGCAGGCAGTGTGCTAACCCTCCCCAGAATGCAGCCGCTTCGGCCCACCCCACCTGTCTCAAGGCTGCTCATTCAGGTTCCCCAGAACTTCTGACCACCAGGAGGACCCTGAGGACCCTGAGCAGCGCTCGGGCTCGTGGCTGCAGAGCCCAGCTTGTTCAGGGCTAAGGTGGCAATTTGCTGCAGAAGAGCTGCAGTTTCCGTCCCCTGGTCTCTCCTCTCCAGGAGCACAGTCCCTGCCGCCACCACTTTGCTGCGCCTCCTACCTGGCCAGGCTGGGCGTTTCCACCTCCCGTCTCCATTTTCCCTCCCAGTCTCGCAGGGCGCTGATGCTGCTGCTCCAGCGTCTACTCTCTTGCTGTTTTGCAAACCTAACTCTCCGGAGTCCCTTTTTCTCTCTCACCCCCTCTTTGCCTCCGAACTAACTAAGACTGTTAATCTTTAGCCAGTCCCTAGAGTAGTCAGCAAACACCCCAGGCTGGTCGTTAACAACAGGCCTTACATAACCCCATAGAAGAAAGTCTTCCAGAGCACAGAGAGGGGGTCTCGGCCCGAATCGGCCTCCTGTTTATCTGGCAGGAAGGACTTCCTCCATCCCTGGCCTCTGAGATTAGGCTCCCACCACCTCCATAGGAGGTCCCCCATTTTGCTCTAGAGAGAAGTGACCCCAGCAATGTCACTGTCCTTTGAGGTCAGCACCCCAGGCCTGCTGGGAACGCCATGGAGCCCTGAGTGGAGTGTGGGCCTCTCCCACCAGGAGAGCAGGGACGGAAGCCTGAAGCAAGGCTGGAGCTGAGAATTCCACAGCTTCAGTCCTGACACTGTTCTCCTTATCTTTGGTATTTTTGTCCCATCATGGGCTGAGTTGCTTTCCTCCAGGAGGGAAGGGACACACAGCTTCTCTCATTTTATAAGGTCCCTTAGTGAAGGCCTGGTGGTGAGCAGGGAGGGATGCTGTCCCTGGCCTGGCAGCTGGGCTGTGTGAGTGGCCCGGTACACGTAAGCTCAGGCCATCTGAGGACAGCCTTGGGCTGTGGGATTCAACCCCAGGAAGTGCGGGGAAGTGAAGCGGGCAGGAGTGTGGGCTCCAGCCACCTGTGGTTTTGGGCAACTTGGCTGCTCCCTCAGTTGTGGTTTCCTCACCCATAAAACAGCCTGTAGCCCTAGAGGGGTTTTGTGAGAACTCACTTATTCAATAGTTGCCAAGCATCTGGCCTTTTCCAAATGCTTAGTGAATGTGTGTTGTTGCTGTTACTAAAAAATATGTTCTGGGCCCTCCCTGGTGGCGCAGTGGGTTAAAGCGCAGCACTAAGAAGCTAAAGCCACTTCAGTACGAGTTTGATCTCTGCCCTGGAGGTGACCCACATGGCGCAGCAGACCTGACCCACCCACTGCTCCCCTCAGCAGTGTACTTTGTCAGTCAGCCTGTTCTGCTCCCCACTCTCTCTCTGGTGAATCCTCTCACTGCTCCTGCCCCTCCGGCCTGTACCCCAGTTATGTATGCATAAATAAATCTTAAAATATATATAAATATATATATGTTCTAAGTACCTGCTACATACTGGGCAAGTGAAAATGGTCCCTGCCTTTAAGAAGGAATATCGGAGGGGAGATGGGCAAATAGGCAGGCAATAATACCACAGGATAAAAGCGGAGGCCGGAGCTTCCGGAACAGCAAGGCAGGGACACTCATTGTGACCTGGGGACCAGGAAATCCCAAGAGTTGTTGTTTCTGGGCCAGTTTGAAAGACATTCTGGACACTACGCGCCTCAGACTGGAGAAAAGGGGCATGGTGAAGTCAACTTGCCCCACTACCTGAGGAGTTGGGTTTTTTTTTTTTTTTTAAAGATTTATTTATTAGTACAGAACTGGGGTACAGGTCAGAGATGTAGAGGGTAAGAGGATTCACCAGAGACAGAGTGGGGTGCAGAACAGGCAGATCCACGAAGTACACTGCTGAGGGGAGCAGCGGGCGGGTCAGGAGAGGTCTGCCACGCCATGTGGTCACCTCCGGGGCAGGCGGGAATCGAACTCATGTGGAAGTGGCTTTAGTTTCTTAGTGCTGTGCTTTAACCCACTGCGCCACCAGGGAGGGCCCAGAGGAGTTGGGGTTTTTATACCACACTGTGATTGTCAGTTTGGAGAGGTGTTCTGTTCAGAGGACAGGTCCTTGGATCACCACTGAGAAACGATTCACCAGCGCTCCCCTTCTGGTGGCACTCAGTGAGTGTCCCACCAGGATGCCATGAACCAACTCTACACATACAGGTTTTGTGGACTCTACCCCCACCCCAGATACTGGAACTACAAATCCCATTAATACCAAAGAGAGGCACACTGGGACCTGAGGGTGGAGTTAAGCAGCCAGGTTGGTTATAAAACCCGACATGCGGGCTTTGGGGGTCTCTTGGCCTCATGGTTTGCAGCTTATCTCTTGGCCCTTTACCGGTTTTCAGCATGTTATTGGGGCATCCAGGTCACCGGAACTGGTAGGCATTAATCAACTTACCTCTCTCTTTCTCTTTCCCTGAGTTATTCATTTCCCTTGTAAATAAACCCATCACTAACCTTTTCGTGTGTGCCTGCAGTTGAATCTTAAGCCCACAGGTGAGAACACACAGTGCCACCATAGCCAATTCAGGGGCCAGTGACCATTAGGGAAAGGATTGGCAAATGAATTTTTTTTAAAGATTTTTTAATTTATGCTTACAGAACTGGGGTACAGGTTGGAGGTGTGGTGGGTGGTGAGAGGATTCACCAGAGACAGAGTGGGGAGCAGAACAGACAGATTGACACAGTACACTGCTGAGGGGAGTCAGGAGAGGTCTGCCTCGCCATGTGGGTCAGCTCCCTGGCTGGGGATCAAACTTGTGCTGTAGTGGCTTCAGAGAGCCTCATAATGTGGTGCTTTAATCCGTTGTGCCACCAGGGAGAGCCCAGCAAGTGAATTTTTTTACGTGTGAATAATTTCCCTGAATTTTTTATGTTCAGATACTCAGATTCCTCTACCTAATTAAAAAAAAAAAATTCAACATTGGGTTGCTCTATAACACCATGAGGCAGAGATGTTTAGTTAGATCCAAAAGGGCAGGTTCATTACATAAGAAAAGAAACAGGCACCTGCATAGACACACGTGCAGAAAGAGCTGCTCCTGAAAGGGACAGGTTTGTTAAAAGGGACACCGGCATAGTCACAGCCCACCAGCCTTGGGGGGAGAGCGGCCTCTGCTGCTTTGCAAAGGGAAGAGGCTGGTGAAGAGAAACACCTGTGTAGTCACAGGTGGGAAGAGAGCTGTGTTTGGAGGGGCAACTTGATCCTACCTACATAATTTTTCTTGTGGAATTGATAACTATTGTTAAATTAATTATTTCTAGGGTGTAAGTGGCAGACTTGAAAGAATCAGTGGTTCTGACAATGGCCCTCAATCTGCATATGCCCACGTCCAGACGGGGCCTCAAGATACTTTTCTGTAGCTGTTTTAACCACTGTGTTAATCTTTTCTACCCCCACCTCTGGTTTCTGATTTTGTGTTGCCTCCATCTTAAACTTTCTACTCTTAGCCTCCACCTGTGGTGGAACCAGTCTATTATCACAGAATTCTAGAAGGAAAATGTGGGTGCCATTTAAACTCAGGCATGTCCTCAGCTTCTTGAGTCAACCATTCTTCCAGAACCTTGTGTTTCCTTGGGAAAGGCCAAAGAAGGGGTGGGGCCAGATGGCCAGAAAAATTCCTTGATTTTTAAAAAAATTTATTTATTTTTTTTTGTGCATACAGAACTGGGGTACAGGCCAGAGGTTCAGGGGCGGTGAGAGGCTTCACCAGAGACAGAGTGGGGAGCAGAACAGGCAGATTGACGAAGTACACTGCTGAGGGGAGCAGCGGGCGGGTCAGGAGAGGTCTGCTGCACCATGTGGTCACCTCCGGGGCAGACGGGGATGGAATTCATGTGGAAGTGGCTTTTGATTCTCAGTGCTGCACTTTAACCGCTGTGCCACCAGGGAGTGTTGGTGACCAGCTCCAACTATTGAGGTGTCTGGAGGCAAGACAGGCAGGACCCTAAGGTGGGAAGGCGTCGGCGAGTGGAGATTCCTAAAAAAGGGGGAAAGGGAGAAAAAAGGGGAAAGGGGGGCGAGGAAGACATGGGAGTCGGAGTTGGGTGCAAGTCTTCCTGCTTTGCTTTCAGCAGAGGTTTGTTTTATACATTAGGAGCAAGCAGTGGGATGACATCAGCACACGAACTGGGCTGAGAGATTACAATCATCTTTGTTTTTCCTAAGAACAGTTTAGGGTCGTATTGCCCTTTAGCTGAGATATAACATTCCAAAATCAATCAAGGTTAAAAACAGGTACATAGGTGCACAAAGTTTATGACTAATATTACTATAGTGGAGATCAACTA